ACAGTGGAAGCCAGGGAACTTCATCAATCCCACAGACCTTCTCTTAGTCCCACCACCTCCTTGGGTCATACTTGAGCTGTAGTGTTTCCATCACAGCAAGGATTTATTCCCCAGGTGAGTTTTTGGGTGCTTTGAGGGTGTGGTTGGCAGGCTAATAAAAACCACACTGAAAATTTCAAAAGGAAAGGGCTTTAAATGTGGTAATATCGTTTCTGTGGGATGCTGAAGTTCTGGAAATAAGAGTTTGGGAAAAGCATCACTATGGTGTGAGCCTGTTTTTAGGACAAGTGAGGTCATCTCAGCACTAAAAAATCCTGGCCAATGCTGAAGTATCTTAAGTCCTTTCGGTTTCATTCAAACAGCATGAGATTGGTTCTGCCTCCCCCTTCTCATACCTAGGTGTGGTGGCCTAGGAGGGTGGGAAGTGCCCTGCTTCTCCTCCACCCACCTCCAATCCAGGTGATGAAAATACCCCAGTATTAGCACAAACCCAGTCCACTGGTCATGAGGTGCGCACTACTCATCCCTTCATTCAGCAGTGGTTGGCCTGCAGAGTTGTGTTCCCAATACCAGGACTCAGCTTAACAAGCTTGGGTAGGTGGCCCTTGCAGTATGAAGCCTGGCAAACACACAGGTGCTCCTGTTGCCAGAGATGCCACCTCCAAGTATATCACATTCAGGTGGGCACAAAGAGGACACGTGGGAGAAACTGCCCCCGTTTCTGAGTGCAGTCTATGAGAGCATAACTGCATGTGGGCATGCATTTGGCTCACGGAGGAGCTTTCAGTGAGGACTTGAATACTGGCAAGCTGCTTTTCTCAGTTAACTCTTTTCCTGCCCCTCAAGTGCTGTGGGAAAGGGGGGTGTCTAGAGCTGGCTTTTAAAAAAAGTCCCATTACAGCCTTGCAGTAACATTCCTACTTGTCATGAAAAATAGCCAGGAAGCTAGGTGGGAGCACTGGGCTGACACTTCTCTTTTGGTACATGGCTATACCCTTTGCCAAGCTGTTGCTTGCCCTTCAGAAGAGGGGGAAAGGCTGCTCACTGCTGCACAGCCCAGGGGAGCCAAGTAGGGATTCCCACTCTTTCAAGGGGCACTCCCCGCACTGTGGACAGCTGCGCTCTGCTCCCCTGGCCCCAGTTAGGGAGCAAGGACTGGCTTTCATGCATCATCATGACTTTGGCCCTTCCCTGGGCCAGGGGTTCCCAAGCTTTTTATGCTGAGGACTGGCAGACTGTGGACCAGCAGTGACCAGCGTACTGTGGGCAGGCAGCCAACCCTCTTTTATACTCATCATAAAAAGGCTGGCTGCTGGTCTGCAGTACGCCAATCACTTCCAGCCCACAGTTTGCTGGTCCGTGGTCACTTCTGGTCTGGCATCCAAATCTCCTGCAGACTGACAGCCAACCCTTCATGGCCTGGTACCCAGCCACAGCATGGGGGTTGGGAGCTCCTGCCCTAGGCTGTGTGGGGCAGGAAGCAGAGAGCATGGCCTGGGGCACAGGCAGGGTGGTAATTGGTGCATAGGAGGTAGATAGGGAGACAGCTGGGGCATAAGAATAGAGTCATGGAGGATGTTGAAAGGGGAAGGGAATGCAGGACAAAGGGGGTGTGTACAGGAGATGGGGGCAGAGAAGGAGGCTGAGGGCCAGCACAAGGCAACTAAAGATGTACAAGGGGTTGTGGGGTGGAAGTGTGGACAGCTGTTGGGCAGGGCAGGGCCACCTCTCTTCAGCTGGATTTAGGACCCTGGTGAACTTGTGGTTAATTCTCATCGCTCATGAGGAATTTGACCCACCCCAATTTAGGGGCTGCTGCCTTTCTCTTCCCCATGCCCTGTCCTGTTCCAAGCTGAAGTGCCCACATCTTGCTCAACAGCTTAACTTGTTGCCTCTTGCATTTGCTGAACCCTGTCCCAGAGCAAGCTCCCTGCCCAGGAATGACAGGGACAGGACCCAGGCCTCCCATTTCTGCAGATAGCCCTTTTTAGGGCCTTCTGGCTTCAGCACCCATTTCTCACTGTGGCTGAAGCAGAGACCCCTTCAGAGACATAGTATTACTGCTCAGAAGTAGACACACACAGGCAGGTAAGTAGTGATGCAAGGCATTTGCTTGTAACTGTATTTTCTGGTCCTCGGGTTATTATTTCAGTATACATGGTCACTTCAACAAAGGGAAAGAAGTAAGGAAAGAAAACTTATAAAGCAAGAAAAGAGAAACTAGAGCTTCAGGATAATACACAATGCCCCTAAACAATACCCCAATTTAGCTTTGTTTGGTAAGCACCTAACTAAATAGGAAAGTTTTTAGTGCTTCCAAAAGATGTCCATGCTCAGGCTCTGCTGGGCCTCAAGAGGGAGCAAGCTTTGTGATGACTGTCAAGAAGAAAGTTTCTTTGTTTTCATCAAGCACACTGGGTACATCAATGGTACTTGGAGGTTTCTCTCTTTTGACCTTACGGATCACAATGGACCACAAGGGAGAAAGCAGTCCCACAGATATGCAAGGCCCAGACCATTTAGGACCTTACTAGTCAAAATCAGCACCTTGAATCACACCCATAAAGCTCCTGGGACCCATTGCAGACCCTGGAGCAACAGAATTACGTGCTTCTAGCGCCCCACCCCCATCAGAAGCGGGGCTGCTGTGTTCTGCACCAGCTGCAGCTTTGAGATGGTCTTCAAGTGCAGTTCCACGTACAGCACGTTGCAGGAATGTAGCCTTGAGGTGATGAAGGTATGGACGATGGTAGCCGGATCCAGATCTGAGCGAAAGGGTTGCAACCTTCCAAGCAGATGTTGTTGGTGGAAGGGGCTTTTAACCATAGCTGCCACCTGCAGATTCAGTTACAGCAGAGGACCCCCAAGACTGCAAACTTGACTGACAAAGGGAGGCTGGACTCTTGTCAATGGTAAGTGTCCAAATGCCCCCTAACTCACCACCATCACTTCTGTCTTACCTGGATTCAGCTTCAAATTGATTTGCCTGTATCCAATCCCCAACTGCATCCAGGCAGTGGGAAAGGACTGAGACTGCAGGGCCTGGGGCAGATGAGAGCAAGAGAGAGAGAGAGAGAGAGAGAGATTTTGCTGTCATCAGCACAGACGTGGCACCTCACTCCAAATCTCTGCAGTCTCACCCAGTAGCCTCATATACACTTTGCATGGGAATGGGCAACGCGATAGAGCCTGTGATCGCCACAGGAAAGGTCCCAAGGGAGTAATGAACACAACCCTCTGGGACCACTCTGCTAGGAGAGAGAAGAACCAATTTAGACCAGTCCCATGAATACCCACCAGGCCATAAAAACGCTTTATCAGCACCTCATGCTCAAGCACATATTAGAGCAGGGGTGTCAAGGTTGTCAAACCCCACTCAGCACTGGTCCTTCAGTAGCAGAGTAAGTGGGGACAGCAGGGTGAATGGCATCAGGGAGCTATGCAGACACTGCTTGCACCCCCCAATCAGGCCCTGCCCCTGCTCACCTCCTCCCTAAATTCTCACCTCTGCTAGGAGCCCTGATGGACAGATGACATGGGTCCACAGGCCAGATCTAGCTTGTGGACCATATATATTTAACACCTCTGAGTTAGAGGGAGATGAATCCAAGCTTACAGGACAGCCTATATGGCAGTTGATGGTCTCCCCCCTACTCCACAGTTTAATTGTGTGTGGGTTTTTTACATTAACATGTTTGCACTGCTGTGACTAAGGGGATATGCGCTGGCTAGGATACAGGTGGGCACTATTACGTTGCATGCTTACCATAGCCTCCATTTTGACTGAGAGGCTTGTCAACACATGCAAGGTAAGCTTTTGCCAACTTATGTGATGATAATGGGATGCTTGATGTGCAAGACATTCAGTAAGTAATCTCAGTTTGAGCCTAGGAAAATGGACCTATCTGGCCAATTTGCAGCTCAACCTTCTTGACAGCAAGTTCCCCACACTTTTATCAGTTCCCTTGGTCTCAGGAGGTCTACCTGGCAGTGTTCATACTATCTGTCACACTCCAGCAAACAAGACTGCATGCCTCTGCTTTAGGTTCTCTGAGCGTCAGAGACTGAGTTCTTCTAAGCGTGATTTTTGGTTTGTCTAACAATGGTACATTTGACTAACTTTTCTTATAAGAAAAGTTTAAATGATCTATTTATTAACTGCACTGTATGAATGAAGTGACCCTGTGTTAGAAGGGAACCATGTTCTGTACTGGGCTGTATTAACAGAAGTGTCTTGCAAATCAAGGGGAGTGACTCTTCCACTCTATTCAGCACTTGTGAGGCCTTACCTGGAGAACTGTGTTCAGTTTTGGGCCCCACAGTTCAAGGAGCATATAGATGGATTGGAAAGAGTCTAACAGAGAGCAACAAAAATGTATTAGAGACCTGGGAAGCAAAACTTATGAGGAAAGGCTGAAAGAGGTAGGAGTTATTTAGTTTGGAGAAGAGGAGAGTGAAGGGGTATTTGATAAGTCTCGAGAGACCTTAAAGGTGGTGATAGAGAGAATGGAGGGGCTGTGGCTGCAGGGGACAGAAGTAAGAGCAATGACTTCAAGCTGATGTGGAGGGAACTTGGATTGAAGATTAGGAGGAGCAACTCTGACGGTAGGCAAGCACTGGAGCTGGCTACCTAGGGAAGCTGTGGAATCTCCACCGTTGGACGTTTTCAAGACAGGTTGGACAGAGACTTGGCTGGACTAGTCAGGCTTGTACAGGGGGCTGGGTTAGATGACCTTGTGAGGTCCCTTTCAGACTTATTTTCCTATGATCCTGCATTTGATAGGCTCCTTTTATTTTTGTATATAATTAAATAACTTATAAATAAGGCAACTGAAGTTTTGGGGGTATAAGACCCAAGGAGCCCATCTAAACTAGGATAAAGTAATCTTTATGGGACTACCAGTCACCACATGTTATAAAGTAATTACAGTGTCAGACTAAAGAAACATTGCTTAGTGCGCTCTCTCTAATGCGATGACAAATACCAGAAAAATAAAGAGTTTAAATTTTATATAAGCCTTTATTTACAACTTGTTTAACAACTGTACACTTTTCTGTCGCCTTGGAAGCATTATTGTTTTTGACTGGGAAAAAAAGCATTATTAAACATTTCATTTCTAATGACCATTACCTTGTATCTTTTTGTCTATATACAGATATGTATATTAATACCACTACCATGACAATCTGGTAGTTACAGAATAAGAATTCATAGGTGAACTGAAAAAGGGAAATGAATGCTTTGACACTCTAGAAATCCATCTCTTACAGAAAATATATCACTGGCAATTTCACAAACAGTTATTTTGGTAACTGGTCAACACCTAATTTAGGACAGTCAAACAAGCTGCTACTGAGAAAGAAAAGTCTCCTACGCAGCACACATTAAGTTAGTATACTGGAAACATGCTTGAGATCACTTAGGTCTGACAGAAATTTGCAGTCACTCCATGATAAAGATACTTAGATAGCTTAATTAAAATGAACAGTCAGCATGTTTACTGGAAGTTACCAGTTTCATCTGACGCTTCTCTATTGGAATTAAGGGACTCAAATAGTGGTGTCAAGCTAGACACTTTTGAGGAAGAGATCAAAATGCCTGGGGCCTGGAAAGCAACTCTGATGAGAAACTTTTGATGTGCACAGCCAGACTGCAGGAATGAGGAACAGCTCCCATACACCGATATAGCTGTTACTCCAACAGACTACACGTGGCCCCTCCACCTACTGCTCGCACATCCTGCTGCAGTGAGGAAAGCAGGCATGTCTACACAGTCGGTCCTAAACACTTACCAAGAGAACCATGGTTAAGACTTAAAGGTCAAATACTAGGCTCAAGGGATTATTCACTGCATCTTTCCAGAACTGCCAGGCCCAGCACTGCTGTCTATCACGACCAGATCCCTGAGGCCAGAACACCCCCGTTCCTCCCCCAACAGAATAGCGAAGTGCTATTGTCCATACCCCATGTCCTGACCTCTCCCTCCAGCTCCAGTCTGGCTCAGCTGGACTTTGAGGCTGGGAGGGTTGCGAGGGGCATGGCTCCATCTTCTCAGTGACAATGGTGACAGTTCTTCCTGGCTGGCTGACTTGGGCTAGCATCAGCCAGAGCCCCCAGGATTCAGGAACTTCTGGTGGGGTATTCAACAGTGGGGATGGGCAGCAGGAGCCAGGCTACTACCTCTCCCCCAGCAAGAGAGAGCAAGGAACATGGTATGGCACTCCATGCCTGACTTTTCTGCCACAGGACAATGGACAACTGCTAGTGGGGCAGAAGCAGGGACATGTGCCACAGAGGGAAGGCAGCAGAGTGACACATCTTCCAAGTCCCTTTTTACCTCAATATTCCCGCAGCAGCTGCAGGCTTGCTCAAGTGTCTGTCCCATGACTGCGCACACCCAGCACGCACAGACTACTAGGGTTGCCTGGGACTTGCACGTGAATACCAAGGGCAGCACGTGGGCCAAGGTCCTTGATGAACCTGGAGCTGGGGTCACTCGAGAATAGGACTTCTGCTCCCTCCCAACAGTGTTACAGTACTCAGTATTGCAAACGCTCTTGAGACCTTTTGGCAAATTCTATGGCTTGAAAGCCAGCCCCTACCTCTGGGAGGTTAGATAGTAGGCAAATTAACCTAGCATTCAACAGTATTTCACAGATGTATTGCCTCATGTTTTGTATCTTGCCGGTACTGTTCATCCACGTACAAAATGAAAATACAGTAGTACAAATATGCGGAAATTTTAAACGTTAAATAAAGAGCATTTAAAATTAATATTGGCAGAACAAAGCATTTTGAGTTATACTGTCTATATACTGCAAATCTTAGAGCAATATTTCATGGTACAAAAAAACAAAAAACAAAAAAACCCAGGCATGCTAGTGCAATTTGGAAATGAAATAACTAAGACTGGGATACGAACAAACAGTACAGGTAAAGTATAAATAATGCAAATAATAAGCTGGCAAGGACATTTTGCATAATACTGAGAGTCAGAAAGTGTCGACTGCTTCTCTATTAGTTACCTTCATTCATGTTCCTTTCTAGATTTGTTTGACAACTGTACACAAAGAAAAGTGTTTCTGAAAGAAACTGACAACACACCTAAAATGTAGAGAGAAAACACAACAGCCACAAACTACTGTGTATATACATTAAGTAGGCAACATTTGTAAATAAAATATTGCATGATAGCTTGATGGGGTGTGGCATTTATCAGAGGAACTTTGCTTGAAACATGGGTTGGCTAAGCACCACTTCAAAAGCATTTTCTCTTGGGAGAAATTTTCTTGGCTTTATTTGAATGTTTTAAAAAACCCAAAGTGAATCCTTTTAAAGGCCCAGGTGCTAGCAACAGTAATTGAAAAGTGCATTTATGACCTCATTAAGACTACATGTTTTATAGCGCAGCACAGGAAAAAGCATTGCAGGAAGTTTATATGTTAATACTGTTAATCAGAAATAAGTAGTGAAAGTGGATAGACTGAAAGTAAAATGGAGCGCTGAAAGGGCTACATCAATGTGCCAAATGCCTTCTCTGAACTTCTGAGTACTGGGTTTTTTTCCTCCACCAGTCTCACAAGGAGACTTTCTTTGGGGAAGGAAGGGAAGAAGAGGGAGACAGCAAAACTACTCCCCTGGATGGCAAGCTTCTTTGCAAGTGGATCTCTCTCTTTGCAATCAGATGCCCATGAGTCTTAAGTGGTGGAACTGGTTAAGTTTGGGTTATGCAGTCTGGACAGAAAAGCAAGTCATGCACTGAACAGTCCCTGTTTGATAAATAATGCTGCAGGTCATGCAATCACATCACTGCAAATAAAAAAATAAAAGAAGAAAGTTAAAAAGCAGCAAACATTTCATTACCGTTATAATATGAGAACAGAACAGGTATTTTCAAAGCAGTTTAAAAGCAAGCCTGTCTCTAGCTGCAGTTCTGCTGGCTCCAGGGAAACATTTCCTTTCAGGCTTCAACTATAAGCTTCTTAAGGTAACTAGAAGAATCAACAGAATGAATAATGTGCTAAGCACTGAACAAGGGAACAAACGTGATTCTTGTAGGATGTCCAAACTAAGACAAATCCAAACTTTAACACCAGACTGAATGACTTAACCCAACATCTTGTTCAGAATGCCTCCTAAACTATACACGGTGCACAAAATTATACAAAGTTAGCCTCCACATGCCTCACTCATTCCTGCTGCCTGTAGTGGTCATTAAAACACATTTCCTGAAGGAAAAGGTGCCTCTCCAATATTAGGAGTTGTAATCAACCAGAAAGGCAATGGGAGTTGTCCTCTCAACAATTCTGATATGTGAGAACTTTTTAAACACTGGTCACAAGATAAAAATATTAGGCTGCTTGCAGGTGTGAAAAAAACAAACAGTACTTTACTTTCAGCTTGGTGCACCCCTGCACCAAGTGCAACACATACTCAGAAGAGACTTTGCATTAGTTTGACCCAGCTAGCCCAACATCTGTGCAGATCCGGTATTTCAGTGGGGCTTTTTGGTGTTTTTATCCGATAGCTGATTGAATCAGTTATTAGATAAAAGCACCAAAAAGTTCTGCTGGAGCACCTGATCTATACAGATACTGGGGAGGCAGATCAAACTAACATGATGCCTCTTCCAGTAAAACTGTGTTTTGTTTAGTTTTTTCCCCCATGTCTGTCAGCAGCCTCCATGATTAGGGGGTTCAGTATTAAACAGTTGTGTTTGATGCCTAACTATATAGCAGTCTTGCATTCATTTTATACTGATAGCCTTTGGGCATCTCAAAACCTTCTTAAAAAAATCAAACTGAATTCTTCCTGAGAAAATACACAGGACTAAGAAATTCCAGAATATTTCCATCACAGTGTAAGGAGAAAAATAGTTTCATTGGAAGGACTTTGCATCCCACAAATTTTCATCTCACTCCCCCTAGTCATAGTCAATTCTAAACATGTCTTGTGGCAAGAGATACTGGATTGAATTTACTAGAGAAAATATTACATTAAGATAATACTTGCAAAATTTAGAACTAAACATGTCTGTCTGATTGATGTTATAATTCTGCAGAAGCCAAAAGTAAACCGTTTAACTCAAGTTGGTTACAGATAAATAAATGTACCCTTCCAAACCCCAAATTGGCTTTACTGTCCTTTTTTTTCATCCTTGCCCTCCACACCTAGCGAGAAGAGGTTGTATCTGGTGAAATGTCGTTAAAAAATGCATAAAATGAACATACACAAAGCATAATCCTGATAAAACCTATATGGAGCGATGCAGGCTTGCTTTGTGTGCGTTATTCACTCCAGCACTGCTAAGTGAGCATGCACAAAGTGATGCAATGTTTGGAAATAATAAAAGAAAAATTTAGTCCTGAAAATTTTAAGCAGACAACTTTCTTTGGGTATACGTGATTCGACCAACTAAATAATTGTAAAAATTGTTGGTCTAATGAAAGATATCACATTTACCCAACAAACCAAGTCTGCCTACGTCCTTAGACCAATAAGGCTACAACCAGCACTCCTGAAAATTTTAAACATTCAAGTTAAATAAGATTGCATAGGTTGGTTTAAACAAACAGCCTGTTCTTTGCTCTCACCTGCATGTGAGATGCCTGTACAAGAGAACTGATGAAGTCCACAGCTAACATAATTTAATAGAACAGATGTGAAAATTTACTCTTGAAGTTGTTAGTGAAAGACCTTCAAAAACTTCCCTGATTCTGCAAATCTGAATAGGACTCTTTTCAGGATGTACCAAATGCCCTATGATTCTACAAGGAAGGCTTTAAGTGCCCTTCTGACGAGAAAAGTTCACATGGCAATACTGGAAACGAACCCATTAATTTATTCTTCCAGAAATCTCTGCCACAGCAGAGGTTCCTCCCCCTCCCCCTCTGCAAAAAAGTTAGCAAACCACCTGCTACTAAGCATCATTTCATAAGCTGGAATAAATGCAATATAGAGGGGCAGTTCTGCAGTTGGTGTAAACTGTCATTGCTCCAGTGACTTCATCAGAGCATTGACAAGATATCCCAGTGGAGGGATCTACCTAGAGAGAAGATTCACTTCCCTTTCCACATCCAGGTCTCTCCTCTACCCCCCCACCCAACCTCCCAGTCTAGTTTCAAACAACTGAGGTGACAGCATTTCACAACTTCCCTGGGGGTTGATCCATAGGGAGAAATCCCCCACGGACATCCAGCGTAGAGTTTTCCATTGCTCTATTTAATCTTATTCTCTGTATCTAACTCTCCTTATACTATATCCATCTCTGTAGTTTTTATGTCTCTTGTCCACCTCAGCTGCAGCATCAGTTGGGAAGAAAAGACGGCCCACAGCCCTTCCCCCAAATCTTTCCTATCTAGTCATGATCAGCAATGTTGGATGTATCTACCCATGTTTTTTTTCTTAATTCAAGCACCATTTATAAGTTAGCATTAAAGCAAAGTAAATGTGTAGTTCCTTCTAGCTTTCAGCTAAGCAAATCCCTCCCCAACCTTTTATTTGGTCTTTTCTGAAACTCCTTCAGTTTAACATGTTTCCAGCTGGTACTGAGTCCAGAACAGCACACAGCATATTAGTTGCAATCTGAACTGTGCCATGGTGAGAAGAAGTAGCCTTAATATTTACTTCACAATTTCATGAAACCTTCACACATTTTGTTTGGGAGGGTAACCTAATTTGCTAATTTGCTGATGACAGTGATTATTATTATTATTTTGATTTTCCTACATATATTCCATTGCAAAGGATTCGAGTTACATTTGCACTCTCTGTGCCACATTGCATTCATTACTCTTCGCAGCTTCTGTTTACTTGTAAAAATATTTGCTGTGATATCAGATTCAAAATTGCGATAATTTCTAACCCTGTCATGCTTGCAATGGGTCTTCACAGTGAAGAGAAATCAGCAAGGCTCTACAGATAAATTCTAGGCAAGCACTTTGAACTGTGCAACACTCATTCCTGCAAGGAAGTGGCTCCAAACCTGTTGAGTGAGAGTACGTCCAATAATGGCTATAAGAATGGCAATATAAAAGCAAAAATCAGTGCAAAGGGCACATTTTTCACTGTTCGGAAGATGGAACCAGGCATTTCACCTCTACTTGAAACCTGCGCTTTCACCTTCTGCTCCTGTTCAGAAGTTGCTCCAGTCCTTCACTGAAGAACATGTCTATGCTTAACAATGCATGCTGTTACTACAAAGGGGACGTGTTTTTAAAGTCCTGTTTTACTCCCCAGTACTTCCATTTTGTTTGAGCAGTGCTTTACATTGCTGCCTCTCTGACATCTTAGACAACCAGCTCAGCAGCAAGCCAAGATTACTGGGATCACAGTAATCAAATAGCTTCAAATAGCAGAATCAGCATGTAGTACTAGCAACTCTCCAGGGAGCTGTGCTATCTTCATCAGTTCTCTAAGTGGCTTTGCATACACAACAAGCAGTGACACAGATCATTGACTTTCTGTCAGCAGCAACCGGGCTACAGAACCACTTTGGAGCAACTGCACTACTTGAACAAGCATGTACCAAAAGAAGGTGAACTCCTGGTTCCAATGGGATCAATAGCAAACGTCCATTGCCTTCAGTAGGTTCAGGATTTCACCTAGAGCATTTACCATGAGCTTTTTCTGATGTCAGCTGTGTTTGGATTAGTTTGACAAGCTGCCTTGAATCTGTTGTTCACTGTTAATTTGACATCCTGGAGGCTTGTGCAGTTTGGGAAAAAATGCGTATTACTTTTAGTTGAGTTCTAGTCCGTTTTTGTTCACATCTTGCCTTCTGTCCAATTTAATGAGCAGGTACATTTTAAAGACGATGCTGCTGTTCCACAACCTCCAAAGAAAACATGAAGTCAAGTAAAGAAAAATGGAAAAAACAAACTCTCCAGATACTATGGTAGAGCTGGTTGCAAAGAAGAGAGCTCTGGAGAGTCACCATGTCAGGTTTAAAATCTGCGAGACTGGCATGGCTGAAAAGACAACTCCACTGTTCTGGAGACAAGAGGAATGCCTCTTGGCAGGGTTTCTAAATCCATCAGGTGATAGTCAAAATTAATTTAAAAAATGTAGCAGCCACAAGGGCCAACTCATTTGGTATTCTGCTTCATGCAGTTCACAAAAAATACTAAGGAACACACTTCTCCAGAGAGTTTATACCCGAGAAGCCTCCCAAAATGATGTTGCTTTCCGTTTCTTCTGCTGAGGAAAGAAGTTTTTCATTGTCAAAGTCACTGACAAACATCTGTTGTCTTCCTGGACAGGGAAGAAATGTCTTCTGCTCATAACTGAGGGATTTCAGTGTCAAGGGCTCACCAGAGCCAACCAGGACTTCTAGGAAGCCTTCAAGTTTCCTGAGAACAGCACACAGCTGCTGCCAAAATAGTCTAACACTTTTTGCTTAGATTTCTTATTTCAGGAAAGATGGTGAGGGGTTAGTCTTTTTGGTAAAGAAGTGGTTGGGTATTTTTGATTCAACCAGAATTTACCCCTTGTGTTGCACAGAGCTCACACACTAGACTGTGCCAAATATATCCTTTTTATTTAGGAGAGGCACTAAGCAGGAAAGTAATTTTGTTCACCGTCCTGAAGCATGCAGGGAAGCATACAAGGCCTGTCCAGAACCAGTCTCAAGCCAGTATTAATCAAATCTCTCACATTGGATTCACCTTTTCATTTTTAAGGCAAAAAACGCATAATATTTCACCTAAAACTAAAGCAAATGCAATTATTTCAAGAAAGGGTTTTTGAAAGCTATTTTCCGTCGAGCACGAGTGAGTTCATTTTAAGACCATGCTGAGAACACACTGAAAATATGACTGTATTTGTGCGTCTTTCAAATTCTTATTTAGTTAGATTCATATTTAACTAAATTAGTAGACAAACTTGGAGACAAAACTTCCCTATTAAAAATTTTGGAATTCTTTTCATTTGCAAGTAGTTTTTGGCAGCTCATAATGGAAAGGAAGAGCCTGACAGACAAAAATGGCAATACAGCTTTAAATATGCTTGGGTTCCTTTCTAGGAACGTTGTATTCCTTATTCAGAAACATTAAATTTACTTATAAAAATGATTAACACTGGCTACTTTACACAAAGTACTTACAAGTTAGGATGACCAGTGTGGCCTCTACAAAAGACTAAAAAGACTTTGCAAAAACTTTGTACTCATTTTGTTATATGGAGTTCATGAAATTTTTCTTCAGCATTTTGTTTCTTAACACAAAATACAGCAAAACAAATACTAGTTTATGGAGTTAACAAGAGTCCTAAACTGCCTTTATGCTGTTAGGATAAGAATCTGCTGTAGTGCAAATACAACTCTCTTACCTAAACCTGCAGGCATAGAACAGAGGGCAGACCACCTCTATAAATATTTTAATCTCTCCATGCATAACATCATAAAACAATTCTTTCTATATGATGGGTGTTTGTACTGTAGGAAAAATCAAGATCAAGATGAATTTTTAAGCATATATTTTAATGCATATTTTTAACTTGGAGTAGTTTTAAACAGCTAGTTTTCAATCAAAAGTTCAGATTAAAATATAATCTGGGATACTTACAAAAACGAACATAAGCTATATTTAATGGGGTTTATCGAAAGTAAAAATAATTAAATTTAGACACTAGATTGTATGCACAATGAAGGGCAAGGATTTTTTTTCTCTCAAGGTAAAATTGTCACAACGTGTACACAGACTAAGTAAGCTTCCCTAGGAGTAAACATATTATGTCTAATACTGACAGGCATTATAGGATGAGCAACTTTAACTCACCAAGAAGTTAGTGGGCTTAGGGTAAGCAGAATCATGCAAAAAGTGCTCAGCACTTTGCAAGACTGGGTCCTAACCTAATATTAACCATGAAAGCCAGTCACCTGTCTCACTGACCAAAGGGAAGGCGTTACAAAAATGGTGAGACACGTAATTAGACAACTACCTGTTAAAAATTAGTACACCAAATGACACAGCCAGTTTTCGACAAAGTCAGCAACAAACTTGCCTCAAGGCACTGATATAATTTATAAGGCAATTGATATAATCATCTTCCAAATCAGTATTTTAGAAGTAAGTTTTTTAGTGGCGGATGACAATTTGAGCACAGTAAGAGCAATAGTATTCAGCTGGACCTCAGTCCATAATGTCGTTACAGAATTACACCACTTTAAATTAAATGCCTTCGTTTAAACCGATGAAGCAGTAGCATATTAAACCACTCCAAATATTTCTTAATTTGTTTTTGAATCAACCTGACAAAGAAGAGTGGGGAAAAATATCTGAATAACAATCACCTCTGTCAACAAACAGCAGAGGATACTGGTGAATAAATAAAGCAGACGTGAAACGTTTTAAAGGAAGATGAACTAAAGAAGAGGCTCCCAAATCATCCCACTTCCCAACTGATGCCAAGTGCCAAAAACAGGAGAGACTTCTGCTCATAAAAGAACCAGCTCATTTTTGTACCAGAAGCATCCAATACTGGGTGCCATGGGCTGTTGCTATGGGGCACCAATGCCAGTGCCTAGGTCTTTCTGCAGCCAACATGGTTTTCAACAGCTTCATACAGTAATTCTGCATTTCTGTTAACCGTTTTCAGAGATTTTAACCACAGATTACTACACAGTCAAAAGGAAACTAATTCTTTTTAAACAAAGCATCTCATAAAGGATGGTAACATAGGTAGGCACAAATATACCATCTGTGACAGGAAATGTACGTTTGCAACAATAACCTATGTGAGGCTTTAGGTAAGAGATGAGGGCATCATATACAGTAAAAAGACTCCATTATTATACAGCAACTCTTCTAGATGTTTTCAAAATTTTGGCAAATTTAAAATGGCAAAGAGAGAAAGAGAGAGAGGAAGACTCCAAAAATAAAAGGAAATGGTATTAAAACAATGAGATACCATACTGAAACCCTTCCTGAACTGAAGAACAACTGTGGTAACAAGGTAGAGAGAGAGAGAGAGAGAAAGAGAGAGAGGGTGCTGGTTGAGTTTCCTGAAATGTTGTCACGTGCAACAGAAGTATGCCTGGATCACAGGGTAGTTTCCTTTCTAAAGGCAAGGTTTTTCTACCTTGCTGTAGCTGGCTGGACGTGCCCAGGGTACGATCTCCTTGTGCTGGTGGCTTGCCTTTGTCTAGCCAGGAAGGACTGTCCTGAGCCTGTACTAGCCAGTCTATCTTCTGCTGCTTTTTTATGCAGAGTCATTCCCTAGGAATAAACAGAAACTCATTAGTGAACCTGCTGTGCCTGTACACAGTGCTATACTTATGGGAGATGTGGTCTGTACATCTGAAAGTCTGTAAAACTAGTAAGTTAGAATTACAAAACAGAAAACTTAGGCTCCCTCTTCCGTGAAGTGATGCTTCTGTCTTTGCAGCTTAAAATCACCTTGCTTTTTAACACTGTAAGCTTATGCTTAATTTATCATAATCATAATCTCCTTCAGCATTTGACAGTTACTTAATTTATGACAAGGGTGTTTAGAAAATACAGGTATGCACTCTTTCCCAGTAATCACTTTACATACAAGTCAGTGTTTGCTAAGGTTTTCTACCCAATGAAGCATCATAACCCTCAAACTCTCTCATGACCAGCCTGTCCCCTCTCCTTTAAAATTTTAATTGAAGGGGGAAGAAAGTGAATGCGCGTCATGTCCTTAGGGATTATTGGTGGTCTGCAGCTCAAAGGCTGGGTACCCTGCAATGGGTTATATGTAATTAAAAGTAAATGCATCCACCCTTCAGAATGCACACAGAAAAATATGTTTCAGAACAGTATACGTTAAATAAATGAAAAATGGTTCACGATACATGCCACAAAAACAACACAGGTTAAGGTTTTTAATTCTTGTACTTTCGGAATTCCTTACCATATTGTACCAGGCACTAACAATAAACTTCTCCTCCATTTCTCTTTGACTCTTCGTTTTCTCATATTCTTTCTAGTAAAGAAAAATTACCACAAGTTGAAAGCTGTTTGGTAAAAGTGGATGGTAAATATTAGAAAGATAGTCTCTGTATTCACTCAAAATGCCTAGCTAAAACAGAAAAGTCACCTAGAAAGGTGATGGGGAAATGGGCAGATTATTACCTCTAACGAATGGAACATTCGGTCACGTTCCTGCAGTTGATTCTTCAGAGCCTGTATCTCGGGAGCTGCACCCTGGTTCTGCTTAGGATCTAAAGTTCGGATAACCTGCAAGAGGCAAACACTACAGTGTAAGTGGATGCCCCGAAGTGGATCTCTCAAAGCACTTCTAGATTAAATAAAAGGTGCCAGGAGCCAAAGGATTATAAACAGGGATCCAGGTTTTCCTTTTGCCACAGAAAAACACAGATTTTCTCATTTAAAGGAGAAAATCATGGATACCACGGGTTTCCTGTTGTAGGCTGGCAAAGTTCCAGCCTGCAAAGGGCTGCAAGGAGCAAGATGCACATGGCCAGCAATACAGCCAGGCCACAGTGGAGAGCAGCTCCCCCAGCTGCCTGCAGGTAAGTCTATAGGGGGGGAAGGGGGGCAGAAGTGACGCATGGGGAGGAGGGACAGACTCAGGCAGCCACAGCAAAGGAGGGAGTGGGGCAGGGTTGGGGGAGCCACCCAGCCACAGTGGGAATGCATGGCCATGAGGCCTGGCTGGGGGAGTGGGACGGAACCACAGGTGGCTCATCTGGGGAGTGGCGGGGGGCTCACTCCCCCATGCTGTGCACTTCTGGGGACAGGGGCATGTGCCTCCCACCTAGATTTGTGCATGGAGCAGCGGAAGATGCGGGCTGCCTGCCGCAGGCTTGGGGTTCCCCACCCTGCTACCCTCCACCCAGAAGCTCTGTGGTCCAGTGGGCAGGACCCAGCACAGGAAGGTAGAGCAGGGCAGGGAGGCTCAGTACTGCCACTGCTGCTGCTGGGAGCCCTGTGCCAGCTGCGCGGCCAAGGTGAGGCATGCCCTGCCTGTCTAGCAGCAGCAGGGAGGCATAACTCCATGCCACACACTGCCTCCCCCATTGCTGCTGAGCAGGCAGAGGGTACCTTGCCATGGCAGTGCAGCTTGTGTGGGGGTCCTGGAGGTGGAAGTGGCTACAGCAGTCAGCCTCCCTGGCCTCTCACACAAGGTCTCACCCGCTGGGCTGCAGAGGCCCCTGGGGAGAGGGTAGCAGGGCAGGGAGCCCCAAGCCTATGGTGAGCAGCCCGCATCCTCCCCCACCCCCACAGGCTCTGCTCAGCTCCAGTCCAGCTGCGCCACCTGTGGGTGGTGGTGGTGGAAGGGTCTCCACGCTCTGCCCCAGCTGCAGCAGCCACCAGGTCCCATAGCCCTGGCAGCTGGAGGCTCCCTCTGGCAGAGCTGGAGGGGTAGAGCAGGTGGCTGTGGGTTGGGAGTGAGGGACACTGGAACGACTGGTGGGGGAGGACATAACTTGGGAGCAAGGGGCAACGGCAGGGGCAGGGCACCAGCAGATCAGGGCTGCTCAGTGCCACAAAGTGGGCGGGGGGGGGTGGGGAGGGAATGCACACAGGCAACGACAGTGACAGTTAGATCCACGTCTTGGTGAGGGCAGGGGGAGCTCTTATTTTCCATGATAAAAAACCAAAATCAAATACCAAAATACTGACTGAGACACTGGCAGGTTTCCAAATTGCTTTAAATTTGTAACTATATCAAAACATTGTGTTCAACTGATACACACACGCACACAAGCGAGAGAGGTTTTATTTTAATCGTGGAAAAATGCAGATTTGGGGGTTTTAAATCAGAGAACTTTGGATTTTTTTTTTTAAATCAGAGAATTTGGTATTTTTAAAATGAGAAAACAAGGATCCCTGAATATAACCATGCAAGACAGGTCTCAGGCACATGTAACTTAATGGTTCAAAGAAACTGAACAGAATGCGGGAAGAACACACTGTTCTGAGAAGATGAATCCTTTAATCCAATCTTCCCCCTCATGCTAGGGCAGTGGTAGCAAATATCCTGCCACAGCCCAAATCCCTTAGGCAGGATAATATAAAGTCTACTACTGAACATATTAGCGACCGTTCTCTGCTGCATACTAAGAGCCTCCATCAAAACAAAGCTATCAGGGGAAGAAAGTAAAAGCTTATAGGCTTGAGAAACTACAGAAGCACAGAGAACCAGTTTTCCCTCTCAACCTCCACTGTCACAGTGTTAGGGTGTGGAGCATATTTCCCTGCAGGCTTCACTTCATTGCTAAGGTGCATTTGCAGTCATTGTTTTCTTCTCAACTCCTGACCCTGAACTCAAGGACTCCTCTCTGGAAAGGAATGGCGGAAACTGGCCATGACTCAGGGGCTTTGAGCTGCTACACTGGTTTCCCCTGGCAGCAATGAAGAACTGGGACCCCAAGGGGATGCACAGCAGATAAAGATCCCATCATTAAAGTCTGAAGGGGAGATACAGCTATCCAGCTTGATTTTTATATGGCACGTAGTCCAGCGGCATCTGAATGCCTTCTACAATTGCAGGAAGAGAGTGAGTGACAGTTTTAAAAAACGAGTGGGGCAAGACCAATTAATTTTTTTCCTCATTTCTTTCTTTCATTAATTTCTATTTCAGAACCCTGCACAGCTAATGAGGATGAGTGAGAGTGATGTCAGGTAATGAAATGTCAAATAGGATATACTGGAACAAAATGATCATTTAAAATTTAAATAGGTCACCTCTACCGGGTGGTATTCACCCAAGATCTCTTAAGGAGATTAATTATTAAAAGTGGCTATTGAGCTGTTAAGAAAGCACATATTTGGTTGGTAAACCTAGCTGCTGCACTGGTGAATAGTAATCATCATACCCATCTTGATAAAAGACCTTAGAAAATATTAGGAAATGACCATTGACCTCCAAAAGGTAAATTAGTTGAAAAATAAATTGAAGAAGGTGCGTCATAGATGCCTAGATTGATATATAAACTGGATAAACTTTACATAAAGGGAAACCATACCTCTCTACACCTATTAGAATGTTTTCAGGGACAACCAGTGGCATAATAGATAAGAGAAAAAGTGGCAAATATCATTTGTTTGAACGCTGCAAAAACTTTTGGCATCCTTCACGAGGAGCAAATGTGGAAACTATGAAGGTACAAGAAGATGAGTAATAATGTTCTATAAAGGTCTAGGAGCTCATTTAATGGGTTCTAAAATTCTATCTACTTGGAAGAAACTTTGACATCATCACAAACAGATCAGTGAAAACACATAAGGATATATGAAAGACTAAGAGTAAAAACATCAAAACACCAGTACATTCCCACACCCTAAATACTATGGTCAGTTATAGTCACTTGATTTCAAAAAAGACATAGGAAAGAGTGTAAAAAAAAAGTCAAGAGAAGAACATGGTTAGAAGCATGGGATGGCTTTCATTTGAAGCTCTATTAAAAAGATAATTTACTTTGGGGAAGGGATAAGTAAAAGGTGATATAATGTGGGATTATATAAAAAGTTAATGGGTAGACATGAACTCTGAAGGTAATGCCTGAAGCATAGAGCAGAAAGGTCAAAGATCTGATCTACAAGCTGAATTCAGCCCCAGAGCCCTTGAGGCTCTTAGAGGGGCCCTGTTTCAGAAGGTGAGTCTAGATCTGGTCTGTGAGGCTCCTTGCAGTCTGAATTTGGCCAAGGGGGCTAGGTGAGTTTAACACTCTTGGTACAGAGCTCAGAAGGATTGAAAAAAAAATGATTACTGTATTTACTTGAATATAAGATGATCCTGAACAAAAGATGAACCTCCCCTACCCAGTAATTAGATTTTATATAAGGAAAATTTATAAATGTGTTACAATTTTCCAGGTGTAGAAACTAATTATTGGAGTTCTACCTCGATTTTGTCTTCCTCCCACTACTACAGCAGGGAAATTAATTTGGGGGGAAGGAAGAGGAGCAGGCAGCTACTGTGCTCTCTACTCCCCTAATTTCTTCACCCTGCAGCCACTTCCTGCCCTCCCTGTCAGACCCTGCTTTCCCCGAGCACATGGCAGGGAGGGAAAATTTGAAAATACTTCATTGAAAAACATGCTTGCAGTAATTTGCATCTAGACATATTACTATGGGTACCTATAGACTTAATTCATTCAGACTTGATGCAGCAGTTTCAAAAAAGGTAAAACGCGAGTTTTAGCACAGGTACTCCATAAACATGCTTTTAGGGAGCACTTTTGTACCTACCTATATATCATACAAACTATGCATGATATTTATCCAAAGCCAAAAGGCTCATGATTTATCATACAGTTCACTGGGTTGGGTCAACTGTGTTTCAAGCCACGGTGACCCCATTGCTTAGAATGGCTCAGTATGTGTGTATACTCCAGATACCACCCACAAAGGATCCATGTGGTAATCGGCACCCCCACTCATGCCTGGAACTGGGTGTTCTTATTACAAGTCCTGGAATCTTCCAAAAATGTATATACAGATGGGGTACAGGGCAACATGGTCTGGCTCTACCTCATGGAGGGGCGGCGTCACACTAATCATATGTGACAGACGGAGAGAGGGGATGACAGAGGGATTCTGGGTGAACTGTTTGGGGCCCCGTTTGGTGATGTTTTGCAGACATTTAAGACTGGTGAAGAAACAGGAATCACTGCAAATGGGAAAGAAAGGTGCAGCTCAGTTTTGCAAGCGAAAAGGAAGTCACAATGTAGTCAGTCAGCATGTGCATAATCACTGAGCCATGAGATAGCATCCTCAGCTGCCATGTGCAGTCCGTGTAGTCCACCACTGAACTCAGTCAGCAGGCAGTCATCGGCAATATGCAACATGGTGTGCATTTTGCCATAGCTACGGTCTGGGTTATCACAAAGACCCCAATGGTGGAGGTTGGCTGCGCACAGACCTTACCCTGTCCGGAACCTGTTCAGCAAGGCCCACTGACAGCATGGCAGGTTGAAGCCTGGTCGGCAGACTGTAGGATCTGTGATAAGGAACTTGTTTGGTTGTGGTGATGACCTCCATACCTCGTACCAGAGCGTCTCCATCATGTGGTTCTTGTGCAGCAGTTTGAACCACAGTGGGTGCTGTGATGGTAGACATATGGTAGGTGGATTTAAGAAATCGTCCTACAGTGGCAGGCTTGGATTGGCACAGATCTTCTCCAGTAGCTTACTACAGTAAAAGCTGTGTTAACTGGCATTCAAGTAACCAGAACACTATTAACTGGAATTTCCGGCCAGCTGGCCAGA